CGAGATGCACAGCTTTAGTTCCTAAACAAATAAAAAGGGCAATGTAGCCTTTGTATGTGGTATGCCCGCGATAACGTGATGCTTTGAGTTCAATGGCTCCTGTGTAATCAACACCCGTAGCCGAAAATGGACGAACGTTTGTTGTAACTCTTGGTTCTGGTAAATCTCCCATTAGCTGTGTCGAACATTGCGGTCTTTGACGGAAACAGACGATGCATTTTTTAATTTTAGCTGCGATTGTTTTGCGAGCATGAATTATCCAAAAGCGTTTGCGAAGAAATGCTGAGGTAAGTTGAATCCCCCCATGGAGTGTTGATTGATGAGCAAAATCAATTAGTAGCTGCGTAAAACGATGATTTTTCGGTATAATGATCGGATGCTTTTCACGGTAAGGAATTTTCGCGTGCTGTAAACGACCTCGCACCCTAATAATCTTGTTATCGTCTAAAAACGGAGTTAAGCTGATAAGATCACTTTTACTTGACATCATTTCGTGTCTTGAAAGCGCCTTAAGCTCGGCGTAAAAACATTGTTTCTGAATAATCCGAACTAAACAAATGAGACTGTCGTGTAACTCGGCAGCTGTTAGTGAACCTAATCGACGACTTTCTTGGGAATTTGTAAGATTGTGCTTAACTCGCCTTAATATTGCAGTGATGCGTACCAAACGAGTATAAGACGAGTACCTATCGAACAAAGGCAGCTCCTCACTGGCTTCAATAGCAACGTTGACTAATTGTTCGAGGTTTTCTTCTTCCTCTAAAAAGGTCCAATCCGAAACCGGCCATTTGTCTTTAGATTTGCACAACCAAGTCGGGCCATGCTAATACAAATCGCAATCTATAAGTTGAACTGGTGTTAAGCCTCTTGACGAGTAATCGGCAGGGTTTTCATGTGTCGAAACGTGATGCCATTGCTTGAAGTGTGATTCGGTATGAATGAGTCCAATACGATTAGCGACGAATACAGGCCAGCGATTGATATCACCTCTTATCCAGGACAAAACTATTGTAGCATCCGTCCAATAATAGACCTTTATTTGGTTTGCGGGGATATTTATGTGTTTTAGTACCCATTTGACCAGTGTGATGCTTAACACTGCTGCACAGAGTTCGATACGAGGAATGCATATTGGTGGTTTTGGTGTTACCTTACTTTTGCCTGTGATAATGTTAGTATGATAATTATCCTGTTCATCTTTAACGCGAAGATATATGTCGGATGCGTAAGCTTGTGTGGAACCATCACTGAATGCATGAATTTCGACGAATTCGATTGTGGAAGGTAACTATTTCAACCAGCGCGGAATTTGAATTTTCTTAATAACTTGTAGATCGAATTTAATTTGTTTCCATTCATTGAGCAAGCCCTCTGCAAGAGGTTCGTCCAAATCTAAGTTGAACGACCACAAATGTTTCAGAAATATCTTCACAGTGACGATAACGGGATTAATCAAGCCTAAAGGATCAAATAGTCTCGATATTGCCGAAAGCACGGTACGCTTTGTAACGGATTTATGGTTGACATTGATATCAAAATTGAGCTTATAACGAAAACTGTCGCTATTTGGCTGCCAACGCATGCCTAATGTTTTCATTGTTTCATCACTGTTTAACTCGAGAGCAGTCGCACTACAATGTTGGTCTGGGGGAATTAATTTGAGTAATTTCGCCGAATTGCTAGCCCACTTGTGAAGTTTCATGCCGGCTGAAGCAAAGGCTGCTTGTGTTTGATTCCGAATTTCAATAGTTTTTTCCACAGTTTCACTTCCTGCGTAAACATCATCGACGTAAATCTCTCTCATTAACACTGGTTCGGCCAACGGATAACGCTGACGTTCATCGCGCGCTAACCGATGTATAGTTTCGTTTGCCAAGTATGGTGCTGACGCGGTGCCGAATGTTACCGTTGTAAGTTTATATTCTGTAATTTGACCATCTGGGTTGCGCCAAATAATTCGTTGGTATTCAGAATCTTCTTCATGCATATCGGTACAACGGAACATTTTTTCGATGTCCGCAGTGACGACGTAAACATGTAGACGCCAGTTCAATAAAACTGCTGGCAAATCGTTTAGGAGTCGTGGACCAGTGCAAAGAATGTTATTTAATGATTTACCATTGGAAGATTTGGCTGAAGCATCATAAACAACGCGACACTTTGTTGTCAGGCTATCTTCCTTAATCACGGCATGATGAGGCAATGTGCAACATGAATACGATGGTTGATTGTTGTGGAACTGCAAATGTTGTTCTTCGGTAGTTGTGACATGCCTTATTTGATTGAGATCGAAATACTCTTTAATTGTTGCATTGTATTGATCTCGGATGTTGGGATTGTTGTTGAATTTACGCTCAAGTGAATAAAAACGATTAAGTGCTGCTTGGCGTGTCTTTCCTAACGCCAAATTAGGATCAAAACGCGTTTTCAATGGCAGACGTACTAAATATTTGCCATCTGGCTTACGAACTGTAGTTTTTTGGTAGTAGTTTTGACACTATATCTCCTCAGGTGTATATTGTTCCTCCATTGGAATACTTTCAAAAGCGTAAAACTGCTTAACAAACGCATCCAAATTTTTCAACGAAATGTGAGAACAATTTGTTATGATATCTGATGTTTCCGGACTTGAAATTGATATTGCTTTACCCGATACAATCCAGCCGAAAGCTGTTTGTTGTGCAATGGGTTCATCGCTTTGACCCTTTCGTGGACCCTCCATGATTAAATCCGAAAATAGGTCTGAACCGATAAGTAAATCGATAGGTGCTGATCGATAAAATTCGGGTCAGCCAATTCAAGATCACGTAAGTGAGGCCAATCATGATATGAGATAGTTTTGACTGGTAAATCTTCGGTAACATTTTTAACGATTGAAGCTATCACGTCGAGTTGGAAATTTTCATCGATTCGCGACTGAATTGAAAATTTAGTGATGAATTTTCCCGATGTGCGTTGACCATTTGTTAGTTTGATATCAGTTCTGATAGGCCAGCGTCTCAACTTAAGTGTTTGGGCAGCACGCTCGCTAACTAAAGCTCCGGTGGAGCCTTGATCGATGAAGGTACGCAATAAAATGACCGAGCTGTCAGCACACTTAACTTTGACTACCGCTGTGGGTAAAAGTACATTGGTTTTCGAAGTGAACTTGGTTACGTTCGACAGTAATGGGACAATTTCCGAGCGAATGTGATTAGCACTGATGGTACGATTAGTTGATGCGGACGTAGACGATGTCGCCGCACCGCGGGCAGATGATGATGAATTGTTTATGGGTGGAGGAAAATGCAATAATGTGTGGTGTCGTTTACTACATTGTTGGCAGTTCCGATTACTTGGGCATGTAGAAACCAAATGTGTAGAACTAAGACAATTGACGCAAAGCTTGTTGTTATCAACGATAGTTTTGCGCTCGAAACAATCCATTACTAGAAATTTCGGACAACGTCGAATGATGTGCGCTTCTTTACACGCGGTACAACTAATGTGTTTACTGTCGATCGAACTTGTAGTATAGTTCACCCTTGTCTCACGACGAAAATTAGGTTTAGGGTTTGATTATGATTTTGAACTCGACCTTTGGTGGACAGATAAAGCCGCTTTTGAGTCACTATAGCTCGATTTTAATTCAATTGCCTCGAGCGTACGATAACGAACTTCTATGAAGTCACAAAATTGTTTAAATGTTGGAATATCCTTTGAATTTCCCAACTCTTGTTCCCAGAATTGATGTGTTTCACGAGGTAGTTTACTTATAAGAAAATGTACAAAAACTTGATCGCATTCGTCAACCTTGATACCTAAATTGCGTAATGCACTGAGGCACGAACGTGATGTGTCGATTAAGTTTTTCAACCTTGATGAATTCTCCTTGGCCACATTCGGTTGAGAAAAAAAACAAATGCATACAATGAGTAAACAAAACTCTAGAATTATTGTAACGACCTACCAACGTTTGCCATTCTCGATACTAGAAATTTGAATGTTATTATGAATTAGACGGAGATAAGCATCATAAAAGGCAGGCCAGTCGGTGTAGCTACCACTAAAGCTTGGCACTGTTAATTTCGGTAATCGAACAGCCGGTGCAATTGTTTCGTTTCTTGCCAGCGTTCGATTATTCGCTGCGCTTGGGTCTGCCATAGATAATAATGTCGTTGGATATTTGATTTTGAATGCTTAACGATTTCACTTCGAGCCGATAAATACAATTCCTCGAAATTAGTAGCGAATTCCTCAGTATAGTAGGAGTGATCGGTCTCGAGTTCCGACCGAAGTAGTTGAGCGTGATTTTTCTCAAATTTGTGGTAGCAATGCGTCAATGTTTTGATTCTGGTTTCAAAGTATGTAATAGTTTTTCGCGCTTCAGGGTACTTTTTGAAGTTTTTTAGCGCCGTGTTGACTTGACGATATAAATCCAATTGCAATGTATAGATGTCCAACGGTGAAGTTTCGGAATTCATTTTGCTGTAAACCAAGCACTCAAGACAACAATAAGTACACACTCACCTCGTTTTCTTAAACGTTCGCTCTGATGCGAGTAATTGTGGTGTTGATTTTGTGTCCAAAGCAGAGGTCACTTGAAAGTCAATCTGCGATGTTCTTCGATGATATTGCAGCGCCAATTGTTCTTTATGTGCTGCCTACTGCGATTACGGTAAACGAGCCAACGATGATAATTTGTTGGTCGAAATTTGCGAGACAGAGCAGTGGAATCCAATGTGAAAGCAGCAACAACGGGATCGATTTGCTTTGTGGTGAACGATATGACCGCGACAGAAGAAAAACTAATGATGAGCCGGTGTATTTGCACAGTTATCTATTCGATTTGATGCTCCAAATTGTTCACAGTGACACAGTTTGATGAGAATGTTATCCATTAAACATTTGCTAAAATGTCAATTGTGTTATCGTTGTTAATGCTAATTTTGCAGATTGGCCTCACCCGGGGCACCAACTGTTTGTGCGTAGATTCGCAGTGTACAAAGGGTGAAGCCGACAACTGTAGTTAGTTTTATTTTTAATTAATATGAATTTATTAACAACGATATTTAGTCTTTACAACAAATAAACTGATATTGTTTTATTGTAGTTGGAACTTATAAATTATGCTAGTTTAATGAACAAATAAAACTGCCAGGAAATTAATTTTTGTAGTGGAGATGACGACTGTAGAACGGCGACTGACAAAAACTCTTTAGCTCGAACAGGTATTCGTGTATGTACACATATGTACATATATATATATCGCGGGCGTAAGAGAACGTCATTGCTCCACTATGAGCACGCTATCGCATGATCCAATTTGCTTCTCGTTCGTGGATGTTGCTCCCAGAGTGAGTGATTTAGATAAATAAATTTTGAATTATAAGGTGCGTTCACGCAACCGCCTTTACCGTTTTCATTACATGTTTTGAATATTCGCCAAATCGGATCATAAAAAATATTTTTAGTAATAATAATAGATTGGCGCTTACACATATGTTAGTGTTTGGCCGAGCTTCTCCTCTGATTTGTGGCGTGCTCCTTGATGTTGTCACACAAAGCGGANGGCGCTTACACATATGTTAGTGTTTGGCCGAGCTTCTCCTCTGATTTGTGGCGTGCTCCTTGATGTTGTCACACAAAGCGGAGGGACCTACAGTTTTACGCCGACTCCGAACGGCGATTATATTTTTATAAGAAGCTATATTTCATGGCAGTAATACACTCGGAGGTCTGCCATTGCATGCCGAGGGACGACCGCTGTTAAGAAAAAACCTTTTTTCTATATTTTTGCGATGTTGCTTTGACCAGGGCGTTGCGGAGTGGAAGCGCGCACTGCTTAGCACTACACCACAGCGGCCGGCACCTCCCATACAAACCGAATATTCATACTGCATATCTCTGGAAGTGTTCATGGTAGAGTACTGGGACTTGGTTTGGAGATATATAAAATCAATCGCATACTCTTGCAGAAAAATTGGAGCTATTGGAAAAGAGGGCGTGGTACCTCCATACAAACCGAATATTTCATACTGCATATTTTTGGAAGCGTTCATGGTAAAATTTTTTAACTTGGTACGGAAATATATAGAAATCAATCACATACTCATGGAGAAAAACTGGAGTTATTGAAAAAGGGGCGTGGCACCTCCTATACAAACCGAATTTTTTATACTGTATATCTCTGGAAATGTTCATGTTTGTGTGGTACAACATCAAGGCGCACGCCACAAATCGGAGGAGAAGCTCGGCCAAACACTAACATATGTGTAAGCGCCAATCTATTATTATTATTATTATTATTATGGGAGGTGCCACGCCCCCTTTTCCGATAGCTCCAATTTTTCTCCAAGATGTATGCGATGGATTTCATATATCGCCATACCAAGCTTATTTCCAGAGATATGGAGTATGAGAAATTCGGTTTGTATGAGAGGTTCCACGCCTCTTTTATATATTGGGACTTTTGTTAGCTGATAACTAGGGCTCGGAATCTCATGCAAATGCATGTTTTTATTGGGCATGTGAAAATCGAAATTGTTAAGTTATCTTTACGAATCATGAAATTTCCTTTAAAATGGCATTCAATCGTCAGAGCATATTTTTGCATATTTCGCAGTAAATGCATGATTTTGCATATTTTGCAAAAATACCTGTTTATACAATACCATATTTTAGTATATTCTAAAATAAATGCAAGTGGTTTTTGCATATATTTTTAATTTTTTTTATTTAAAACCATTTAAATTTAGTGCGAAATCTCTTGCCAAAAAAATCAATAAAATTTTTTCTTAAATATTTATCTGAATATCTTCTCGGATATCTCAACTAGTGGAAGACTGTAGGAGAGAGCTGGCCTATATCTCTGATCAATACGAAATTGCCCTAATGCGGTTCCTGGCATACAGGGACATTTACGGAAACGTGGCCGCAGACGAATTGCCAGGTGCGGCTCCGCACTGAATGTGTCCCACGCGGTGGATATGGGCGCTTCGCGCATTGAGATAAAAGCAACAATTAACGAATTGTATCACTCCAAGGCTAAGCAGAGGTGGAACCGTACAGGATCGTACAGGATTACCCGGAAGTTCTGGGTGTCTTACGACCCACTTAGACCATGAGCAAAGAAGATACTTACTAACTAGCATTTGCAAAGATGTGGCTAAAGACAGTCTGCAAGCCATTCCTGCAGAATGTTTTAGAGTGAAGCTGCCTCTCTTTGTATGACGTACTGAAATCCATTAAAGCCGCCAAATGGCCATAGGTTGCACGAGTTGTAGAATCAAAATGGCAAACTTTCTCAACTGTTTATTTATACAAGATTGTATCTAACTGCTTGATTATAAACTAATTTTATCCATAAATATGTATTGCATTTTGAAATTGATTGTTTTCGTTATTTTCTTGTTGAAATACATGTGTTATTTATTTTTGTACCGGCAATAAAATATTAGGAAAATATTTCTAACTGCATATTTTACTTGTTTATGGCGCATATTTCTGACTTTTGAGTGCATATTATATGCGCATAATATCGATTTTTTAGTGCATGACATTCCGATCCTTACTGATAACCATCCTTTGAACGTCTGCAGCAGGTGTCCGAAATTTAAAAAAAAAATCGGTTCAGCCGTTCTCGAGCTTTGCGATATACATACATAGATGGATAAGAGTTGCTGCTTTTAATATTGCGCTCACTTACGTACAAAGAAAACATAGCAGCAGGGTTTTTACGTCAAATGTTCCAAGCGCGCTAATCGGTGCAAAAGAAGCTACTTTTCGGCTAACTGGGAAGCAGACAAAAAATGGGAAAAATAATTCGAAAAAACGATTTCTATAGATCTTTGTACGGGCTATCCGATGGTACTATGTATGCGTTTTCCAAAAATTTCTCATTTCCATGGTTAAAAATCTGAACGAAAATTTATTTGTAATTTTTTTCAATTATGGTAATTCTTAATATTGTTTTAAGTTATCTCAATCGAAAGATCAGGTCTTCTTACATAGAAAGCATTAATAAAAAAAGGGGCATTTTGATGTGTATACATTTTTGGTTTCGGTAGGGGTAAAATTTACGAAGCTGTAACGCATACCCCAGCAGAAAATTTCGAAGGGCTTAGCATGTGTATTGCAGCAGAAAATTTTTAATTTTATTAGAAGCGCCCTGTGTTTACTTGCTATTGCAAATGGTTGCGTACATTTAGGCATATGCAGAGTAAAAGGAAATGCGGTGCATACGGCTTTGTACCTATATGGCCATAATTAAGTTTGTGTGTACACATCGATGCTAATATAGTCAAAGATATCACACAAAAATTTTGGTACCGATCGGAGACGGTTTAGGCGTGTCGCACAGGGGTCAAAATTCAGATTCCTCTATGCAGACTCAAAAATTGAAATTTTTTTTCTTCTAATACCCAAAATCGATGCTACTAATGTCAAAGATATCACATATAAATTTTGGACCCATTGGAGTTGATTAAGGCGTGTCGCACAGGGGTCAAAGTTCAGATTCCTGTATGGAGGCTCAAAAAATTTAAAATTAAAAAAAGAAAATTAATTATTAATTATAGAGCGGAGTTGCTCACTCCATAAGCACTTGTAGCACATTTGTTTTTGTTTTGCCCTGAAGTATAGGCACATATACAAATTTACACTTTAAATATAAAAAAAAAAATGTGTATCGCCCTCCCGTATTCCCTGACATATAAACACAATTCATATGAAAGTGCCTGAGTTTCATATGGAAGGGCAAAGCAAACGCCCTCGCATATGAAGCTAAGGCACTCCAGTAAAATGTACAAATTTACACAAACAATTATAGAATGAAAAAATAATACAAAATATGTCTGCACTGAAAAAAATGTATGTTATAAATTGATTTAACATTCGTATTTACTGAAAGTGAAAACGAAATTTATTAAAAAAAAAATACAAGGGGTTTTTGCAATTTTGAGTGCGAAGCGTACCTAGTGTATGTTGTGCTTTGTAATTATTAAACGAATGACGAAATATAGTGATGGGCGAGTCCGAGATGTTTAAACGATCGAGAGAAGCGCTATCGTTGCAAAATTACAATCGAGTCAATAATCGACTCACTGCCCGACTGTACATTCGAGATGTTTTTCGATTGTTTCGAGTCGTCTGACTTATCACTGACGAGATCGTGTGAACCAAGGGAGCCAATTCGTGGGGAATTCTCTGATTTGCTGGAAATTTCAGTTTGCGTGGGGAATAGGGGAATGTACCGTTTTTTGTGGGGAATTTCAGCTCCTTCAATTTTAGTATAATAAAGTTTTAAATTACCAAAAATTACTGTTGATTTTTTTTAGAATTTTTCTTGTCGCATTTTCTTTCATATAACGAATAAACATAATTTACTTGTAGGTGGAAGAAAACCGCAACCACTTCAGCAAAAAATCCTAAAACATAAGTACATAACGTCGTTCAAAGAACAAAATCGCGTATGAAGAAAATGCAAAACCTCGTATGAGAGGTTGCCAAAATTTCCAAAGGCCAGTCCGAGATGTTTTGACCGATTTTTATAGAATGTTAAACGCGACTGGCAATTCGTTGCCACAGTCTGCGACAGAGAACCATCAAGATGTTTTATCAACCGCTGGCCAGCAGCGAGACCGAGATGACTTGGTCGATTGTTAACGANGAAGAAAATGCAAAACCTCGTATGAGAGGTTGCCAAAATTTCCAAAGGCCAGTCCGAGATGTTTTGACCGATTTTTATAGAATGTTAAACGCGACTGGCAATTCGTTGCCACAGTCTGCGACAGAGAACCATCAAGATGTTTTATCAACCGCTGGCCAGCAGCGAGACCGAGATGACTTGGTCGATTGTTAACGAATATGTTAGTTCAGCTTAAGCACGACTTTTTTCGGGTGGCGAATCGTCTACGAGAGAAAACATCGAGGACAATCGAGATATTTGAACAATCGAGACAATCGACTAAAACATCTCGGACTCGCCCATCACTAACGAAATATTACTTGCAACGCCATTTTGTAACTTGCCATCAAAACTTTTTGGAAATTTTCAAAGGGGATATAGAAAATGATTGATTTCCAATCTGAATCCAACGCAGATCCCTGGGAGCATCACACCGCGTAAAATTGATAGGATTGCAGATATTATTCTAACGTCGGATTGCAGAAAAAATAAATTTCGCGACTTTGACGGAAAATGCCAAAAAATGTGCGGCAAACTTCGCGCAAAAAATAAAATAAAATTATGAATTAATGTTGAAGAAACTCGTATCTCCTGTCAACCCTTGATTTAAAGTGCCCTCCTTAAATTTTATTGTATATTGCCTCAATGGTGCTATCATTTATTAACGCTTTAAAATGGGACTTTTATATGCGAAGAGTATCCCAATGATACGAATGAAAATGTAAAATTTGCGCTTGCAATATGTTGTAAATATGTTCAAGGATTCCTCCCACTAAATTTTGGGACTTTTCAGCCACTAGGTCGCAATCATTTCTTAACTGTATTTTTCACAAATATGTATGTAAAGACTCCCATTACTAACAATTTTCATTCACTAACCGTACAATAAAAATAAACTTGTACTTTTTAGCTTCATTTAAATTACAAAANCGCAATCATTTCTTAACTGTATTTTTCACAAATATGTATGTAAAGACTCCCATTACTAACAATTTTCATTCACTAACCGTACAATAAAAATAAACTTGTACTTTTTAGCTTCATTTAAATTACAAAAGAAAAAAATCTCAGTGTACACATAAATTTTGTAGATGTATTGTGATTTCACTTCAATATACAAATTTTGAGCAGCACTGTTATAGAGTGTAATTTTTGTACGACCTAGAGAGGACTTCACTTCTCAATTGCCTACTCAGTCCGATGTAGCACTTCATAAAAAATTATGATTCAATTATTCAAGGTTTTGTAAGTAGCTTTTTTCTAAAATTTGGCACTCCGACCCACAGGGATGGTTTATAGAAGCAGGAGAAAAAGGGGAAGAATTCAAAACACTTCCTAAAATGGGAGCTAAATTCCATAAAAAGCTGTGGATAATAGTGAATGGTGGTATTTTAAAACAAAAACGAATTTGATTTAATTATTTAATTTAAACAAGCTTATTTACATCGAATATAACTCCCGATTGTTATTAAAAATAAATACTTCTATGTATATACCAAACTAGCGTACGTCAGATGGCGCATAACTCGAGAATGGATGGTCCACTTTCAGCTTTTTTTTTGTTGTATTTGTTTGCCAGATGATGGATATGAAGAAGCTATTTGTTTGTGGAAAATATGCAATATTTATTTAAAAAAAACGGCAAATAAAAAAATTACGTTTCTTTTGCGGTTATGGCTCGATTGTTTCGAATATGGTAATTCGAATACTTTGATGTCGCACTTTTAAAGTTCTGGGGAGAATATTCAACACTGGCTTACAAAGCCGCAATTGGCGATTCGTGCCGGACGAACTCAGGAAGAATAAAAAGAACACGCAGCTACTGAAGGACTGAGACAGGGTACGTGATCTACATCGTCAAATGAGAAGTGGCGTAATGGGGCTTTCGCACAAGGCGATTTTTCAGGCAACTTTTGCGTTCAACTCACGCCGGGTTGCACGAAAAAAATTTGAATGACTAAAAATATCAAAATATGAAAAAATATCAAAATATTCGCCATAAAAAGGCGTTTGCATTGTTCAACTTTGCATTCTACTTTTGATTGAACGGCCTTTCAACTAATCGCTTTCAACAAAGTTGGTCGCCAGCCAACATTCGCCTCGTGCGTACACCTTTTAAGTGTGCAATTACATCGCGCCGTTGACTAAACCGAGCTGTCGTGTGAGGATTCGGCCTATGGATGCGGTTTGGCAATGTTATACTGCGTCAAAGTCTCATTTGGAGACACCAGGATTGTGTTGGGGAGGACAATACCTAAATACCTTCGTTGGCTCATTTACCAAAACCATTGCACGCTTTACTTAACTGCGACTTGGCAGAATCTAGAGGTCTTCACGAATATCGACAATTACATTTCGGCATTTAAGGGAATTTCGTATCTTTAGCCTACATTGAATTTCTGTAGTCCAACGATTCTCACCCATTTTGTCTTGTTGGCGCCAACGAATGCAGAACAAATATTTCTTCAAATTTAAAAAGTAAAAATTTCACTACTAACAATTTAAAAATGTTTTTAAAACTTGCAAAGGAATTTGAAAAAAATATCACTGTTTTTGTTTTTAGGAGTAGGGTGGGAGTGTCATTGATAAAATTAGAGCGAGAGAAAGTTTTTCTTGCAAAACCTTTCATTATTGAATCATGGTAAAAAATGTAATGTAATGTAATTAAGTTCTATATAAAACTGACAAAAACCGATTAGCCTCCCATTTAACAGGCAATTTGTTACACGGTAATATTTACTACAGTTGTATCAATTCAGTGGTCCCGAAATTTAACTAAACACTGCTTTACATAATATTGTAACAAAAAAAAAAAAATAATAATAATAACTTAAATTTTTTGAGTCTCCATAGAGGAATCTGAACTTTGACCCCTGTGCGACACGCCTTAACCGACTCCAATCAGGACCAAAATTTATACGTGATATATGCGCCTACAGTAGTATCGATTTTTGGTATTAGATGAAACAAAAAATTTATTTAAATGTTTTGAGTCTCCATAGAGGAATCTAAACTTTGACCCCTGTGCGACACGCCTTAACCCTCTCCAATCGGGACTAAAATCTATATGTGGTATCTTTGACCGTTGTATTAGCGACTGAGGGGGTGAGACTTAAAATTTCATTTTAAGGACCTCCCTAGTGTACATACATATGTATGAACTAAACTTCTGCGCAATTCCATTTAAACGGCCTAACAAGACATCCGATCGCCGCGCAAATACTTTCCCTCCTTTACTCTCATCGTTCGGGTCAAGTGTGAGTAAGCATAAACCAGTTTCTGCAAGCGTAAGTAAACTACCGATCAATAGCAAGACGCGTAGAGTATTTACTTTGCCTTCCGCAACTACTGCGAGTAAAAGGTATTTGCAAGTAGAGTACTCTACTAGTAGTACTTGAGTATTTTCGAAGAAAACATACATTTGTGGTATCTGAAACAGGAATGTAGGAGAGTGATGAAGAGAGCGACGAGCAAAACGTACTTTCAACTGAAATGCTGATATACACACATAAGTACATACGTATGTATGTGCATAAATATGTACATATGTGCATAGTTACGTATGTGCATAGATACATATGTGCATACATACATATACAGTGAAACCCGCTTAAGTAGCTAACCCGCTAAAGTAACCAACATTTTTGGACACCGTGAATTTTTTAATATAATCTGAAGAAAATCCCTCTCTTAAGTACCTCCCCGCTTAATTACCCAACCCGCCTAAGTACCTCAATTTTTCGTGCCCCATTTACAATTTTATTTATAAGTTTCTCCTTTTGAGTGCTCTTTTAAAATTCCTTAAAATATTTACGTATTTTGAAATTCAGTAGCAGCGCTACATACCTTCGGTAAAAAAATCAACGGTAACTTTTAACCACTTGAAACATGCATATTATTGCACTAAAATTGAATGGGCTATAAAACTGTATACTCAAAAAACTCTTCTGAGAAAGAAGTTTGAAATTATGAAGATTTTTTTTAGTGTTCTACAAAATCTTAAGCATAGGTTTATATGATATTTGTTAGGGAATGAACTGTATTTTAATTGATTGATTGATTGATCTTAAAAATTAATAAATAAGCAATATAATTTTGAATTTGGTACAAAATGATATGACCAACTTTGACTTTTTAAACAATTTAATTCTTGTAAAAATTACTTATCATTGCACCAAATATTTTTTTTAATAAAGTTTTTCTTTACTTGTTTATGTATTTAAATAATGCTACGATTTTGGTTTTAGACTATTTATACTTCATTAAATGTTGTTATTCAAGTATTTATGTAAGTTAACGAGAGGATGTAACTACATCAGTAATTATGTTCGCTTAAGTACCCGCATTGAGGTACTTAAGCGGGTTCTTTTAAGTACCCAACCCGCCTAAGTACCTCAAAAAGCTGGCATTTTTCGTGAGGTACTTAAGCGGGTTTTACTGTATATGTAAGTGTCCGCATATATTTTTTCTGTTGTTGTTGTTGTTGTAGCGGCTACAACAACCCCGCCCAGATCGGTTGGTATCTCAGTCGTTGTCGTCAAGTTCCACTAACGGCAACCCTAGGAAGCGTGCTAGACCTGTGAATGCCGTTCTAGGCATACCACCCCCGGACATAGACGAGACGGAGCTTCATCTGCCTCGGGAGACACGCACTACACTCGCACACCTTCGCTCCGGCTACTGCAGCAGGTTGAACTCCTACTTGAGTAGGTTGAATGAGGATGTGCCGAATGAGTGTCCGGCATGCGGAGAGACCCCACATGACTCGAAACAGCTCTTCGCATGCCCGGAAAACCCGACAACCCTAACGGCCTTGTCCCTGTGGAC